CTTTTTAATCGTAGCTTTCTGGGTATACATCTATTTCCAACGTGTGTGTTGTATGTCGGATGATTAGGGTGTCAATTTGGGCCCTGTCATCAAACCTATCTGTAACTTTCCTTTATTAATATATTCTCTTTCGTGCTTTTCTAATATATATATATGTTCTATTTTTTATTTTTTGAATTTTTTGAATCAAAAGCCAATTCAAGAACTGAAAATTAAATATTTAAATTTCTCAAGATGATATCCAAACTATTAATTTACAAACCAACCAAATCAATAAAAAATATTAGTTCTGATCTTTCAATTATAACCTAATAATGCACACCCATATTTCTTAGGTTACTTCTATGAGTTTTGTGAGGGGTGTGCTTTTGTAGTGAATGAGACTTAGGGTCCGTTTGGGGCAGCTTATTTGGCGCGATGGCGTTTTGAAAATGCATCTGGCCTGTTTAGGTAAACTGTGTCTTGGCAGCTTATGCGTTTTCAAAATGCTGAAAACAACGTTTTCACACCGCACTATCTGGGTGCGGTGACAACTTTCTGGCAGCGGTCTGATTTTTCCAAAAAAAATAAAAATTTGTAATAGCCACCGCACCCAGCTTATCAGCAGATTATTTGTAATCAGCTTAGCAGCAGGTTTTTCAATAAGCTGCAGCTGCCCCAAACAGTAGAGGGTAAATCAAACGGAGGAGAAACTAGAGAATGAAAATTGGTTTGGAGCAAGAAGATCATATTCTGCTTTTTTTATTTCTTCTTTAATTTATAAACTTTATTTTATTTTCAATGAATTTGATGTCTTTCTTGTCACTCATAGGTAGGAACTAAAGTGTTTTATTCTTTGGGTTGATTGTGTATATTCTGGGTGAATTTATGTTAGATTCGGGAGTAATCTCATGCGTTATTGATATTTTAACCATCTTTTTTTCATTTCTATTTGATAGTAATTGTTAGATTTGTTAAAAATCATTAATGTCTATACTATTGGAAGAAAATTAGACAAACAACTAGGTCAAAACACAAAAACTTGGTGAAATAGGAAAATTGTCAATTGGTGTTTGCAATCACATAAGTAAATAGGCAATCTAGTGAGCCTTTGTAGGGTTAAGTTAATTTAACCATAATATGAGATTGGATAAGAAGTACTAGTCCCCGATTGTTAAATATTTTAGGAGATTTTAATGGAGGAACTCTTAACTATCACATAAACAATTCAAGGAAGTTTTTTTCACATTAGCATTACCCTAAAGTAGTAGTTTTCCACATAAAATATAGAAGCTCTAGAAATATTACAAAAAAACCATTCCTTTGAATTAAATTAAAAATTAGTAGATCAATATTTAATCTATTTTGTGAATTAGTAAGTTTCTAGTGAGATCGATAACTCAGACTAAAATTTTGAATATTACTTGATCAACGTATATACTTGCGTGAATAATGTGAGCATCATTGAACTACAAATCATTTGTACATACTAACGTCTATAAATATTTATAGCTTTTTTTATGTTATTCATTTATATTTAAATAATTGATATTAATGCGTTTATATGTTAAAAATATATGTGCAAAATTGAGAAAAAGAAGGGAAGTGTTGGTGGTTGTGTGGCTAGATGGTTGCATGTTTTGTGCATTTAATAGTTATAAGGCCTGTGCACCTATATAATTATTGTATATGCATTTCATATGTTTGATTAGATGTGAACAAATTTAGGTATAAGTAAAAGTGGAGATATAAAGAGTAAGGAAAAATTATGAATTAGTGGAGATACATGAGAAAATTGAGATGTTAGAGGTGAAAGAATAAGATAAAATATTCCAAATAAAAAAAATTAATTATTATTTCAGCTTATTTTATTTTTTTTTTTTTAATATCATATTTCTTTCAGTTTTGCTCAATGAACCTACTATGAATATTAGTTCTTGTAATGACACAATACTTGATAGTCATAAGACATATACTATCATATTTTTTTTAGTTTATTTAAAGTAAAATTTTATTCCTTTTATCTTATGTGTATTAAAAATTATAGTAGATTTTAATTAGCTTTTTGATCTATGATTACTCACTCTTATTTTATTCAAATGTGTTATTTCAGGGAATAGTAAAACTCAAATTGAGTAGATGTTATTAGTTACGTTGAGAGCCAAAATTCGATACGTTATTGTTATTACTATTATTTTAAATAGCATGATATATAGATTTTATTGATATAAAGATTATATCATGATCATTGCATGTGCATCATTTCAGTGTATATATGTCGCACAATCGAAATGAATTTTGAGTATTTATATCTTATATTTTTATTGATGATAATAGTGTCTTCTTATTTGTGTAAATTGAAGAAAAATAAATAAATAAATTCTTTCTTATTAAACCTTGTGAAATTATTTAATTGTCACTACTTTGATATGATGGGTTGCATCTGGTCGGGTTGTGCCAATCATTTTCTCAAATACTTAATAAGGGTCGTCCACATATTGTAGCATGACTGAGTCTATTAATCATAAGCCACCTCCTACCTTTTGTAGTAAACCAACTCTTTTTTTTTTCTTTGGATGAGATTTTTTTATTTGACAATAACTTTCTACACTTTTGTCGATAAAATTTTCCTTGGCATCTTGAGCTATGAGATCCTTCATAATTTTGTATTATATTTACGTCTAATATGCCTTTTTTTATTGACCTTTGTTATTGTCATCACATGCATATCAAACCATTTATAAGTAAATTATTCAATATCTTTTTATATTTCTACTCATACTTAATGGTTTATCTATGTGTATGTTGAAGTGAACTTTTTATCGATAGTTATGATATGTCTTTTATTTTATATTTATGGGTTATTTTCTATCATATTCATGATAACCACATCAATCACTCTATATTATACTCGTTGAGATCAATTTCTTGTAAATCAATACAAATAGATATCACTACTATAAAAATATCTCGAAGATCTGTGGCCCGTGTTCTCAATAAATAGATGTTTTCAGTGCTCAGAAGAAAAAAATATTGATGAACTCTGCTTCATATAATTGTTGGCAGAAATTAAATTTTAAGGGTCTTCCTATATATTGTCAATCTTGTAATACTTTTTTTATCATTATTATTTTATTTGTTATTATGAATCATTTAAAATGAGAATATCCTCTCAAAAGCGCCTATCTTACTATTCATGATATCTTTTTAATTATGATGTAGAGAGGCAAGATCTATGTGTAATAAACATTAATGAAAAAATTTGTTCAACCACCTTATTGGTAAATGCTTTTGTAGCCTCCACCTTGAATGTTCTCAAGCTTTACTTTATAAACTAGTATGGAGTATAGTATTTTTTTTTTTTTTCAAGTATACACCTTTCATAGTTGTTGTAAATTTTTGGGATGTTAGTATCCCCTTTAGATTTCGACCTTTTTATTCATTAATTATAATTGCCAAACCTATTAATACTTTAAGGGCCATGTATGAGAACAAGTTATATATTAGTTTATCAAGCATTACAAATGTGTTACCAAATGCTAACCATAATTATTCTAATAGAAATGGATATTAATGATTCCATATTTTGCTCAATCTTGATATTCTACAAAAATCTTCCTTGATTAGTGGACAAAACTTGTGCTTTCTCAAAGAGGCATAAATAAGGAAAAAATCTGTCACTCTATGTATCACTAGATTTGAAGCTTGCCTTAATAACTCTCCAAATAATCTTGGCATCATGACTCCATGGGTGTCTTAAAGTGGGCCTATAATCTCTCTTCTTGGATGGATAATACTCTTTTAACTTCAAGCTACCTTGATTCAATATAATTTAATTATTATTATTTTTTATGAATAGCTTTTTATTTACTTGTTTATGTAATTAATTAGTAATAAAATTCATTACCACTTAAAAATTCCCTTCATCCACATGAGCTTTCTTAACTCTTTTATTTATTCTACACATCTTCACTAAGGCTCCACAATCCCACCCAAGTAGCTATCCCTCCTACACAAATCACTTCAACACCTAGTATAAACTGGCCCTCAACAACACCATCATAAGCCTATTCTACACCCATCTACAACATTAAAGGCAGAGAGCACATTCATGCAGTTAGGTCCTCTCATCATAGCCCAAAATGATGTTGGACTTCTAAATTTCACAAACTTGTCATAAATTTTATTTATTCTACTTAAAAATAAGTTATGTTAATTAGATATTTCACTAGTAACTCACTAATCAACCAACACCACACATTAATTAGTCTCATCATCAAGAATTTTTCTAGAACCTTGCCCTATTCTATTTTTTGAAACTCTCTTCCCACTGTAATATATAAAATCAAAAGACTACATGATTGAAGAAAAATTAAAATTAAATTACCTACATCAATCATCAAAATAATATTTCTATATTAATCCAGTTTTCATTGATTCAATTCATAGTTAAATCTAATACTCCCATACATCAAAATAATCCGGTGACATTAATGTCGTAACACAAGTCATCATTGCATGTCAGGTGAAAGTGGAGTTACTCGCAAACCTTCATCGACCAAAATAAAAGGAACAAAACCACATGAAATCACAAATTACACAACACACAACTAGGCCTTAACTATAATATCACTAACCAACATGGACCTAAAAAAAAAAAATAGAATAAAAGACAATACCCTTCGCAGTTATACTTTCACATTTTCTCTTTTCTCTGGTGTTAGGGTATTAACTCCAAATAACGTCGAAATAACTCCGCAATAACCCCCCAATAACCGTCGCAGAGGTTGTTAAGAAGTTATTGAGAGGGGATTATGTACGGAGAGCTTGCGTATGTTCTCCGTACACAAATATTTCTCCTGTACAGGACTGCGCCCATCAGGTGTTGCTGAGGGAAAAGCCAAAGCAATTTAATGAATTGATGCAGCAATAGAAAGAATCATTGGGATTACAATACAATTAAGAAGTGATCAAACTGAGACAGACCAGAAGAAAATAAATTTATAGTAAAAAGGAAACATAAAGCGTTACAAAAAGACTGCAACTAAAACTGTAAGTTTACAAGAACGTTACTGTCCCAAGGCACAATCTACAATGAAACTTCATTTCTACCCAAGTGCACCCTCTAAGAACTGTACAACATTGCTTTATACATTTCGGCAGAGCTCCAACATTATTGAGAAAGAAAGATTGATTTTCTAGTAACATTGAACCATTCACCTCTACACCTGAACTAATATATAAAACCTGCACTGCTTCAAAACCAGACAGACTCTGCAGCTAAATTTCAACTCAAAAAAAGGAATCCAGATAGGAATAGTTGTGTCGACGGTTATATTGAAGGAGACTGCCATAAGTGCGATCCCATATACCGACAAAGAGAGACTCGGTGTCGGGGCTGAATGACATGCCAGAGATTTCTCCGAAGAAATCGAGCTCTTGACGCTTGTTATAATCGCTTCCTACATCAAAAATATGAATGAAGTCTGCTGGTTCGGCTATGGCCATGAATTGACCATCGGAGCTAAAACGGATCGAACGGATGGCTCCGAGGTTGCCTCTGAAAACAGCAACAGAGCTGGAGAGGTTGCGCACATCCCATAACCGGCAAGTTTTGTCTTGATTGCCCGTAGCAAACATGGAACCATCAGGGTGCCATGCAGAAGCAAATGAGTAGTCCACATGGCCAAGAAGCTCATGGATGGTCTGGAAGATGGAGAATGGGTATTTAAAGGTGAGAAAAATAGTGCACTTAATTAACAATTTGATATTTCTTCATTTTACAACTCCTTTATATTTTTTTTATTGATATTATTGAACGATCTTAAAAAAAGGTATTGGGAGCAAAAATATGGACGCTTAATTATTTTACCACTCCATTTAGGTTAATGAACGTGCTTCATTTTTTTTTTTTTACACAACAAATAGCGCATTAAGAGCTCAATAAAATGCTCAATAGAATCATTTAACACCTTGCTTAATGTTCTAAAATTAAGGGTGCGTTTGGAGCAGCTTGTGCGTTTCCGGATAAGCAGCTTATCCTGAAACACGGCCTACGGGTCGACCACGGGGTTCGACCCGCAGCCTGCGTTTAGTGTAAAAATGGAACCGCATTTTTGGATAAGCGGGCAAAATGCGATCCAAAAGGTACCGCAGCGTTTTCAAAAACACCCCCGCACTTATAAGCTGCCCCAAACCGGCCTTAAGTTTCTTCTGTGTAGCACTTATTGAAAAATGAGGTAGAACGGAGGTTTAATTGCTTGCACATATATAGAATCAAGCTTGATTATAACTTGATTATGCTTTGAATATGAGAAAAAAATTAATTAAAAGCTTGGTTAACATTTTTAAATTTGACTCGGTAAGAAAATGAATGAGAAGTTGTTAGCATTCAGCTCAACTCAACTTGATCAAAATAAGAAAGATAATATGCTGATTCTAACACTAATGATATTGCTCACACAAGATAGTACATATCTCTAGTTATCTTACTTTCTAAGCCCACTTCTTCCAAATAAAATATGGAATTTTTAATCTGATAAACCATAAATAAATCAAATCTGACAATATTAAGGAATGTATTGTCAAGCCGCTACTTCTCGCGTTGCATAGGTTGAAATCGAGCAAAAAGCCTTTGCTACCAAATTCGTATGGTATGGCTTTATGCAACATTTTTTAAATGAAGCAAAGATGTATTAAATGTGTATAGAATTTACCTTCCCAGTGTGGGCATCTAAAAGCAATGCTTCAGTGCTATCTCCCACAATGACAAGAAGCTTTCCATCTGGACTAAGTGCTGTATGCTAAAAACAATAAAAAATATACAGAGAAGTCATTATAAATGAGAAAAACAATAATTTTCAGATTTGAAAAGAACGAAAAAGTAAAATAATATACAGGTGAAACAGGCCAAGAATGATTGCCATAATTAAAGAAAGATCTTAAGATTAAGTCCATTGCCACTCAGTAGGCTTCGAACATCTTTCCTTGTTCAAAAGAACAAAAATGAAAATGTACGATAGATTACTGTTGTAGGCATTGTAGCTAGTGATTATGACAATAAGATTATTCAGTCACAACAATTTCACTAAAATAGCATATCTTACATTCACCGGCCAATCAAAACGGAAATGCTTTGACAATTGGAACCTCTCCATGTCGAAATCTCTAACTCCGCAATCATTGTTTGATGCCATGAAATGAACAGCACCACTATGAAAATTGAAACTTGTGTCAAACTCTCAGAAACATTAAGAAAATGGGAAATTTACATATGCACAATTCTTATGTATTTACGTATCTCACACCAAGACTTTTATATTTACATATATAGCACTTTAGTGCTTTAAACCTATGCATAAAAGTTGCATTTCAGTTTTAGAAAGTGGCAATGGTGCTATTTTTTATGTGATATTAAATATTTGAGTGCTATGTGTGTAAATATGAAAGTTTACATGTGATATATGCAAATACATTAGAATTGTGTGCTATGATGTAAATGCCACTTAAAGAAAACACCCATACATATGACCAAAGGATAGTACAACCTCGTACTGTCATAGATCTCCACAGCATTAGTGATAGCATTGTCATCATAAGTTGTCCGGCAGCAAAAGGTTATTCCTTCCCTATCTAAATACTGCATTTCACAACAAACAGTTATTTTGATTTATCAAAAAGGCCAACAATGTTGTTAAAATAATCAAAAAGGCAGGGAAAAAAAAACACTATCACACAAGTGCAACGAAGTCTAGCATTAAAATAATTATTCATTACCATTAAAGTCGGGTGGAACTAAAGAAAGTTATAATGATAGAAAGAGAAGAGACAAACTCCAAGCATAACTCTGAGTGACCAATATACATAACATAGAATCAGATAGCATTCAATTAGCCTCACATAATTTCAATAATTTAACCACCCATGTTCAATAAAGATTAATTAATTACAAATAATGGGCCCGTTCTCATAGAAATTGGGCTACAAGGATAAAATCAATTATTAAAAGTAAAACTAATCCAAACAAAATCTAAGTTTAAACAACATACAAATTTAAATCTAATATTATCAAACTGAAAATGGTTGAACCTAATAAAATAAATCAAATAAAAATAATAAAATAAATATGACCATAATTAAGAAAGTTTATAAAAAGGTTGAAATTTTGGATGCAATGTTTGTTAAATCTTCTTATTAAGTTCGGTGTTAAAGGAGGGTCTTTTCATCGATTCAAAGTTTTGAAGCACTTTGTACACAAGTTGAAGGGCTATCAGGACCCATTGAATCTTTGCTGATATCTATATGGAATTTTACAAAGAAAGGAAGGATAGTGGAACAAAGTCTTATTTAGGCTATTTTACCCCCTTCGTTTTGTTTTATATACGTATTTGTCTTAAATCCTCTTGCCTATGTGAAATGAATCTATCAACTACAAAACATGATTAGTGCTATGAGTTCTACAATTTTTTTCTCAAGCAAATTCAAACCGGTAAACTTTTTGTTTAGGGGATGTAAAGTTATCTTTCAATTTTTGTGGCTCGAAGACCCTACTCTATTAAATTAAACATTTGTGGTATCTAGCCATGCTTTACTCACTATCAAGCACGAACAAGACACGATACGATACGGGACACTACATAGTTAAAAAAAAAAAAATAGAACACAAAACATCATGAACAAATTTTATATTTAATTAATTGGTAATATTAAGTATATGTTTTTCTATTATTTTTTATTAAAAATATCACAGCACAAATTATGCAAGAATAAAATTTAACTTCATAAATTTAATTTATATTATAAATTTCGTGTTTATGAAAATTAATTTTTAAAATTAGATATAATATGTTTCAAAAGAATTCATGCAACTCATCTTACTAAAATTTAAAAATTCTAGGATTACAAAGAGGAAACTAATAATACTCAACTTCAACGAGTTTTGGATGCACATTCAATGCTCGATTTTGATGAATGCTAGAGGGAGTTGCAACATGATGAATGACTGGGTAGTTTTGATTACGAGGTATAATTAAGGTTATACAAATATTTATAATTTTCTAAAAATCGGGTTAAGCTCATGTTTGATACGGTGTTGAGTGTGTCCCATACATGTTCGGGATATATGTAGTGCCGAAGAAGTGTCAGACAAAGTGTCGGTGTCCGATAGGTGCCCGACACGGGTACGATGCTTTTTTAAAAGAGTTTGTGCTACATAGTTTATTCATTCTTAGGTTACAAAGAACTTTTAAAGCTTTCAGGCTATTGTCAACCACATGAGAGTCGGATTTGAACAAAGCTAACCATCTGAGGTCTGAAGGTTGTGCTGAACCATTTTGAGGCTACATCAAACTTTAGTGGTTCGCAAATTATGTCCAACCACTTGAAAGTTAGCCCAAATCCTTTAAACTGGCCTGACATTTTTGAGGCTGAAGGTTATGCATAGTCATTAAGAAGTTGCACTGGAATTTTGAAACCCAAAGGTTATGCTAAGCTCCTTAAATGTTAGCACGAGAGTTTGAACGAATCTAGGGTATGTTTGGAGCAGCTGTAGCTTATTGAATAATCTGCTGATAAATTGATTAAAAATAATTTGTTGATAAGCAAGGTAGGGTAACTATTATTAATTTTTATTTTCATGAAAAAGTCAGACCGCAGCCAAAAAGCTACCTACGCAACTAGATATGTGTGGTGTGAAAACGCTATTTTCATCATTTTGAAAATGTGCAAGCTGTCAAAATGCAGTTTACCCAAACAGTCCAGGTGCGTTTTCAAAATGTCACCGCTCCAAATAAGCGGCCCCAAATGGACCCCTAATCTTTTGAGATCCAGAAGCTATACGAAGATCACCTCTTGGTTTGGCTTGAGCTTTATAGCCTTCCAATGTTTCTTGATTAAGAGTCTCCTAATATTCAACCAAATCGTAAAATAAACATTAACTTTATCAACCAAATAAACCTAATCAATCATTAGAATTATTCATATAGAATTCAAAGGTTTTTATTGGGTTATGAAATATGCTTTATGTTCATCTAAGGGAAATTGAACCGACTCTCTCATGGATAGATAAACTTAAGTGAGGCATTGGAATGCCTTAGATCGAGCATGAAGGGACTATATCTTGATCATCCTTACTCATTGTGCATCATTTATAGCATCCCAGCACAAAAATCAATACTCTAGCAATGCAAAATAAGAACATGTATTCAGCATGAACATTGGATTCAACCTTCAACAGAACAAATTCCCAAGCTAAAATTCTTTAGATTTGATCCAAGAATTAAAGAAAAAAAAATACCACAGTTCTATATGAATGCTCAACGAGACGTGCCAAGCCTAATTTTATTAGGTTGAGAGCACTCAACTTGCCTTAATGATTATGTATTCACCATTTATCTGCTTGATTTGAATGAATTGTAGTTGCAATGACAATTGCGATAGGAAAAAAGCACTTCATTGGGACTAAGGACTTTGTTCCATAAGACTAAAGAAAAGAAGTTCTTTTCTAAGCCTGGAGCACCACTGGTAACTCGTTCTGCCAAAGGTAGAGCATGCCTTTGAGTTCCAAAATATAATGAGAAGGGGCATTTACATACATGCCACCCAATTCCAATGTATTTTACATATCTAAAACCTAAAATTTGCTTTTTACATTTATACCACAATCCTCCATATCACGTAAAAAAAACAACCATTTTTATTTTTAAAAAAGTGAAATACACTTTTTCATTTATAGGTAAGGTGGTATGTATGTTAAAATTGACATTTAGATGTTAGAGATGTAAATACATAAGAATTGAGTGATTTGCTGTAAATCTTACTATTAAGAATTGCATTGTTGGTCGCTTCAACTTGCTTGTTTGTTTGTGGGCAGCTAACTGATGAAAACTTCACGCAATCATTGATTTCTTTATAAATCTTAAACAATTTTGCATAAATGTTAATTATGATGGTGAATCATAGAACATATTAAGATGTTCTGAAGGAATATACTGCTAAATCACTACATTGATTCTTGTTTTGATTAGCAAGATGAATTTCATTCACTGGGTGTAGTAGTCCACGATGGCCACTACAAATGTTCTTCCAGATGCCCAAGAAATGGGGTCCATTTTTTCCAAATTGAAAAATGCAAAAGGGTCATAATCTAGTACTTAGATTCAATTATTGTATTGAATCAATTCTTAGGGTTTGCAACTCCTGCATTTTAATAAAAAATATTTAGCAGTATCACTGCGCATGTGTTAGAAATATCAAAGTCAGAATACTCTCTTCGTTAAAATAGGCTCAACCTTAGTAACATATTTACTCGCCAATATAAATCCCTTATAGGACTTCCTTATTCATAGGCGCATTTGACTTGTCCTTAATTATGTCTGTTAGTAGATGATTCCAACATAGATGAAATATCTCACACTTTGATATTAAATTCTCCTACAGCCTCGATGCAATGTTGCATTGCAATCCTGTTGAAATGAAATCAAGGATGGGCATGAATCAGCAGTGGGCAAACTTTTCAAAAGTAAATAGTGCATAATAATGCAAAGATTCCATAGCCTAAACCCCCCCCCCCCCCCCCCCCCCAAAAAAAGAACAAACCATTAAAAATGATGAATAATTCATTAAAAAATACTACAACAACAACAACAATAGCTTTATCCCACTAAGTGGGGTCTGCTACATGAATCCTTTTTCTCCATTGCGTCCTATTTAGTATCAAATTTTCATTTAATCCTAATAAATTAAGATCATCTTTTATACAATATGCCCAAGTCTTCCTAGGTCTACCTCTGCTTTTCTTAACATAAGTCTTCTTAACATAAGTCGAATCTG